GCCCTGATGAGGCAGACAGGCGTCCCTGTCAGGTGTGGCTGCCCCACGACTACGTATCCTGCTGCCTTTCTTTCATACGCTCTTTGTCCCCTTCTCACTCGTTTTTTAGGAGCCCTCAAATCTACTAAACGGCCATTCAAAGTCTTTTGCTCGTCGTCGATTCGGGTCCAGGAAATAATGAAAAATTCAAAAACCAATATTTAACATGCCATAAAATCAAACAAAGTGCAACAATGTGTGATCCCGATCCGGATCCCTCCTCCTGCTTTATGTGGTATCCTTTCTGCTACTGTTGCTGCTGCTGCTGCTGCTGCCGCTGCTGTTGGGGTAACGTTTAATATCTCATCAAGTGTTACGCTTTACGACTACTTAAAAACACATAAAAAAGAACAGACCCGAATAAAAAAAGAAAATGGAGAACGCAGAACGCAGAACACAGAACACAGAACACAGAATGGAAAAGAGAATGATTCCCAAACAAAATCAACGCTGAAAGCTATAAATTCTCTCCACAGAAAGAGAGAGAGACAGAGTGCTGGCTACTGAACAGAAAGCGAAAGGAAATGCAAAAGCGAAATAGCAACAGCCACAAAAGAAGAGACCGAGGCAGCAGCAACGACAGCCCCAGCGGAAAAGATTTAATGATGCAGCATGATTTGCGCATAAAAAAGAAGCGAAATAGAATAGAATGAAATGGAATGGAATAGAAGCAGTGGTGAAGAGTAACGCCGAGAGTGGAGCAGGAGAGCTTCATAGCTTTTGACAGACATCGGCAAGTGCTGGGCAAGCTTTGATAAAATGCAGCACACATAAACACGATACACCCACAGATTCCTAAACATATACTACACATATACCTACATATGTACATATATTGTCTAACACTTTAGTTGAGCATAAAATGTTAAAGGCGTACGTATAACATACAATATAACATGTACATGAGGAAACAGCCAAGCAAACGAAAGTTGTGTTATGTGGGTTTATATACACACAAGCTCATTCATATGTACATATACATCTCTGTATGTATTTGTGCATTGCCTGGCAGAAAGGGGTGAATAAACCCTGAATAACCATATGAATATGGTTACGTTGCCACAGTGAAAGATGGCTAAGAAGGAAAACACTGCAGCGGGTGTAGCCTAGCTATAGCAAGAGTTGGTTGATGTTTCAACCAAGATGCCCCAAAATCTTTGATTAACTATTGTCTGATACAGATACAGATTCATATAATTAGACCCGTTAAAAACCGTATTCAAGTATTGGCTAATGGAATCTTGAGCGTTTAACTTTTGTTTGCTTTGACGTTTCCCAAAGAAACTTTTTCTGCCATTGATATGCCATATTCCAGGCTTTTTTTCTGAGAACATATTTCGAAAGGGAGTCTCCACTGTACCCAGACTAACTTGTGCCTCTCCGTCTTCCGCTTCTGCCATTGGCATTTGATGTATCATAGCTGCTGAAATATATCTTCTGTTCCCCTGCCTTCCCCTGCCTCTGCCACTGATTACCCACCACTGTGTGTCTGTCGCAGAAATGCTGTTGCAAATTTCCAAACTGACGAAATGAAGCGAAATAGCAGCAAAACCAACCAAACAAACGTCCGCCAGTCAGAGCCAAGACTCTGCCCGATAACAAAACTGTCTAAATATTTAATTATATTTCTGGCATAACGCTTGTGGCTAATTTGATGTTTTAACAGTTTTTGCCCCACCGGAGTGGAGCCCCCACTGCCAGTGTCGTTGGCTGCGTGCGACTCGCCGTCGGTCAATATGCTAAAATATTCAAACAGTAAACCTCCACATGAAGACAATAGTTGGAGTCGAAGCGCTTTCAGGTCCCGGGGCTTACATCATATTTGATCGCCACGCGTGACATGACAGACTGAAGTTCTAGTCGGATGACATAAGCAAACATACTCGTATATGCATGCATTCATGGGGGAAGATGGGAAAAGTTTCCTAACTTAATTGAAATTGAGCTGGATCCCACAGAGCTGACAGCTCTCAAAGTTTGCTGCTTCTTTGTAGGCCAATGGCAAGGTCGAAAGATTAGTGAATTAATACTGATAGGCCTTCTAACAATTTATTATACACAAATTGATACATTTGTTGTCAGGTCTTGCTTACTTTCCGCTCGTCAAATATCCAAACATCAGAAGGTTTCCCCAATTTAATACAAATTTCAGGACATTGCATCAGCTTGATTGTGTACAAAATACTCGTACTCGACTGATAGGCTGGAAAACTGATAACGAAAACAAATCATAAATCGATTTCTCTTTGTTTGGGTGCCCAAAACATTAGCTTATTACGTATAGGAAGAGAGAATGGATAGAGAGAGTTTCGAAAGGGGTTTCCTTAAAAGGCACAAATGCTTATTCAAATTGATTCATTTAAAAAGCACTAGACACCACTGCTCTGGCAAGTTTTCTATTAATAGAACGGTTCTCAATTGATCGTAACGAATACCCATTGCCCGTAAGTATTGGGGTGTCTTGTTACCTACCCTCTTTTCATTTTGTAAATTATTATTATTATTAGTATTACGTTGCCCCCAAAGCTGGCTACTGGATACGCCTGATGCCGCGAAATTAAAGAAAACGCGAGGGGGAACGTTGTGAGTTGATGCGGAGACCGCAACTCTACATATACATATACCCGATACTTAGTCAGCATGGCTCTCCTCCGGCAGACGCCGCTAATATTAAGCGACACGACAAAGAGTGCGTGCGAGAGAGACAAAAAATCAGTCGGAGCGTGACGTCGGGCTCTGCGTACCCACTGCAAATTGATTTGTTCCCTTTGGCTTTAAAAATGATCTGATCTGATCCAGATTCAGCAATCTGATAGATATGGTCATTATCTATGATTGTGACCCCACAAAGAACGAAAATCTGTGGCATCCACAATTTTAAAGATACGAGAAAACAAAAACGCAGAATCGTAGAGAATGACCATTTCTTTTAGACTGCAGAATCTGAATTGGATCGTATTATTATTATAGCCAGCATCAAGAAAACAATTTCATTTTTTCTCGCCCTGTCTCTCTCTAACACACACGTAGCATAGGCGCCTTTGCTTAGAGTAAAACATTACCGCCTAGATCTCAGAGACTATAAAAGCTAGAGCAACCAAATTTGGTATCCACACTTCTAAGATATCGGACTTAGACGAGTTTATTTCAAAATTTCGCCACCCCCTTCCGCCCCGCAAACGACGAAAATCTGGGGATATCCACAAATCTCAGAGACTATTAACGCTAGAGTAACCAAATTTAGTATCCGCACTCCTGTTAGATCTCACTATAAAACGAATATCTCAAAATTTCGCCCCACCCCTTTCCGCCCCCACAAAGGACGAAAAACTGTTGCATCCATAATATTGAGGATACAAGAAAACTAAAAACGCAGAATCATAGACAATGATAATATCTATCAGATTGCTGAATCTGAATCAGATCAGATCATTTTTGTAGCCAAAAGCAAGAAATCAATTTGCACTGCCTACGCAGCGCCCGACGTCACGCTCAGACTGATTTTCTGTCTCTCTCGCACGCACTGTTTGTCGTGTCTTTTAATATTAGCGGCGTCTGCCGGAGGAGAGCCATACTGACTTAGTATCGGGTATAACCGTAGAGTTGCGGTGTCCGCAGCAACTCACAGCGTTCCCCCTCGTTTCATATCTTATCGCCTAAACTATACATCAAGATTTTAGAACTTCATCATTTAGTATCTTGGCAGATAATTGTTAATTAAATAAATAAATAAATAAAAATCACGTAGTAAATTTTGTTGCTTCAGAAGAGGGGTTTATTTGATTAATACTGATAAGCATTACAAACTTACAACTATGACTAAATTAATTTGTTATCAGGACTTGGCTACTCTAATCTCTTCAAATATCCCATTGCATCAGCTTGATTGGAAATAAAATATTCGAATGATATGCAAGCAACTGATAGCAATAGTGGATTTTACTACCTGAACGTATCATAAATCATAAATCGATTTATCTTTGCTTGGGTAGCCAAAACATTAGCTTATTGTATATTTAGCTATGCATAGTGCTATTAGATATGTAGAGTGGGGAATATGCATTGCCCGGTAAGTATCTGGGTGTACTCTTTTCCTATAGTTTCCCTTAGCGACTAAATGGTCTTCTACTATCAATTAATCATTTAATTTCGGTAGATAACACTCATTTCCCAACTGAAACGAAAAGAGTTGAGTGGATTGAACTCAGCTTTCAGTGATCTAACTTTGTTCGATTATGAATAAATACTTGTTTGGTGCTCAAGATAAGATTATGTTTCTAGGCAAATGATAGGTAATTGATAAGCAAGCGTTAAGATATTGACAAACACTTAGAGAGAGGAGGGAAGTAGAGAGTGAGAGCCAGTTCGAAGCTTTCTTATCAGAACATTCTCTGAGCTAAGAGCTTTGCTCAATGCTGAGAAACCTGTTTATTAGTTGCGAAATTCTAAAAAAATTCAGAAAAAGTGCTTCGGAGGTTGACGCGTTGAATACCCTCAATGTTGAATCGAAACATACAATGTTATGATCCCATTTTGATATTGGATTATAATAATTAAATGATAATGGTTTTAATAAGCAATACAGCATATGTACATGTGCTATAAGATACAGTGACGATGTATTCTGTGATATCCTACAATAGAGGAACCCCTGCTGATCAAAGTTAAAATACAGTTTGCAAGGGTAAGGGTGTTGTTCTCTCCGATTCCGCTACGAAAAAATATTGACAACAGAGAGTGAGAGTTATCTATCAACACATATTTAGATCCCCTACAGAAACAGCAACAATCAGAGAGAATGAGAGCCTTTGTGAGTAATACTTGTGGAGAACAGAACACATACGGGTATACTAGTTACGAGTAAACATACATATATGTATATTACGGCGGGTATAAATTGTCGCGTCGCGCAATTGCGAAACTCAGTTTGATACAAAAAAATCAAGTGAAGAAACCTTGCTATGGTTTGCTTGGAAATATGTCTGGCCATTCTGGTCCTTGGCTTGATGATATACAAGTGGTCCACAGCGACGCACCGCGCATTCGATGATCGAGGAGTGTACTTTGAGGAGCCCAAGCCGTTTTTTGGCAATATTGGTACATCGATGTTGGGCCTAACCTCGTTTCACAAGGTCCTCAGCGCGTTCTACAATCGTACTCGGGGCCAGTAAGTGATCTATCTATAATCAGGCGATCCAGATACGGATAAGAACGTTCTAAAACTTTTCAGCAAAGTTGTTGGATTTTTTAATTTGCGTACGCCTATGATCCAGCTAAACGATCCCGAAATAATCAAGAAGATCTGCATCAAGGACTTTGATCACTTTCCGAACCATCAGCTCTTTTTAGAGAGCAACGAGCGTCTCCTCAACGACATGCTGAGCGTGATGAGAGATCAGCGGTGGAAGCACATGAGAAACACCCTGACGCCGGTCTTTACGGCAGCCAAGATGCGCAGCATGTTCGCCCTGATGAACGACAGTTTTGGGGAGTGTCTCGAACACTTGTCCCGACTATCGGATGGTTCCAAATCTGGGGAGGGCCTCGAGGTGGACATGAAAGTGCTTTGCAACAAGCTATCGAATGATCTGATAGCCACCACCGCCTTCGGGCTGAAGGTGAACTCTTTTGAGAGCCCTGATAATGAGTTCTACCAGATCGGTCAGTCTCTCACTTTCTCCAGAGGATCGCAGCTGTTCAAGTTCCTGCTCGCCACCCTCATTCCGAAGGTGTTCCTTGTGAGTTATTTATAAAATGGTTCATACTGTATGGAAATTGATAGATATTTTTTTCTGTGTCAGTTCTTTAATATGAAGATCTTTAATGGCCAGAAAGTAGAATACTTTGTACGGCTGGTGGTGGATGCGATGAAATATCGTGAAGAGCACAACATCAACCGACCCGACATGATCCAGCTGCTGATGGAGTCCAAGACGGAGTCCGAAGACAACTGGACGGACGACGAGATCGTGGCCCAGTGCTTCATATTCTTCTTCGCTGCCTTCGAGAACAATGCCAACCTGATATGCACCACATCCCTGGAACTGCTCGAGAACCCCGACATCCAGCAGCGGCTCTACGAGGAGGCCAAGGAGGTCCAGGAGTCGCTTAAAGGCAGCTCACTCACGTACGATGCAGTGCAGAAGATGAAGTATATGGACATGGTCATCTCTGAATCGCTACGCAAGTGGACCCTTGCGCCCGTTACCGATCGCATCTGCTCCAAGGATTACACCCTAACCGACGACGATGGCACCAAGCTATTCGATTTCAAGGTGGGTGATCGCGTCAATATTCCGATTGCCGGCCTGCACTGGGATGATAAGTACTTCCCCGAGCCCCAAAAATTTGATCCAGAGCGCTTCAGCGATGAGCGGAAAAATGAAATAGTGCCTTACACATATTTGCCGTTTGGAGTAGGTCCCCGAAACTGCATAGGTGAGTCTGCTTCTCCGAAGGAAATATTTTGTTAGTTTAACCATTACCATTATCATTTCTATCCCCAGGCAATCGATATGCTCTGATGCAGGTCAAGGGAATGTTGTACAACCTCCTGATCAGGTACAAGATCGAGAGATCTCCCAAGACTGTCAAGGATCTGTGGGAGGAGGCACGCGGATTCAACCTTGCCCCCAAAGCTGGCTACTGGATGCGCCTGATGCCACGCAAATAGGGGAAATAAACACAGTTGGTTTAGGATAAAATACACAGACATATATTTTATTTTTGATTATGTTTCCATACACACATTTGTTGAATTTCATTTGAATGATGTAGCATAGCTTAGACGAATAACCGATACAATTCATACTCCTTATCATATGTATTTTTTGATCTTACAAAACTTTCTTTAAGACGATTAAGTATTCTGGACACATTCCTTTTACATAACAGTTTCGCTTCCCTTTCACGCTGCGGGTGAAAGCAGGCAAATTACATAAAACAATTTGGCATTCAAACAAAAGAATCTTCGTCATATTTGGGTTGGACAAAAAAGTCGTAAAAAAATAGAAACTGCAAACGTTGTAAAATTTGGTTATTTTATCGATTTGTTTTGATCGGGTTTTGGAAGATTTGGGGTTTCGCTTTTGCTTTTCGAGTTCTGCTTTTGCCATTCCATTTTAAATTATTGCACTAAAAAGACTTTCACTCTCTCGGAGATTCTTTTGTTGGCCGTTGAAGGGGATTCGTTGGAATTTATTGTTCGTTTATTGCGCTGCTTGTGGTCTCCTACGGATCCGCTTCGATCTTCTTAGATCTAACACTAGAATACCTAATTAGTTATGATAATGCCTATGTGTAGGTATAATATGTATATGTAAATGCAAATATGATATAGTTTAAGCTTTGTACAAGGTTTCACCCCACTTCGATGATCTCATATGTCGTTTGTTTCGGTGTATAATACATTTCGATATGTTATTTACAGTCCAATCCAATCCAATCCCACCTAAACGCTGTACAGCCGTCCGTTGCCGGTGTGCTGGAGACGCGGCTTGCCCAGGCCAAAGAAGTTCCATACCCGACGCAGGCAGCCGGGCTTCTTCTCCGGCAGCATCAGGCTCTGCTGCTCCTCCAGGATGGTGTCCAGGATGTAGTAGCTGCTCAGGTTGAAGGGCGGCGGCGGCAGAATGGGAGGTGGTCATGATATTGTGCAGTTCTTGCTCTCGTTCATGACTCCCGGCACTCCGGGGACAGCGGCTGATGCGGCCGCAGCCAACGATGGGTCCTGGGCCAGCTTCTTCTTGCGCTCGTAGGCGAGGGCATCGTTGGGCACGTAGGCCACGCGGACGCCGCCGTAGTGCTTGCGGGCGGGCAGCCGGTAGACGTAGTCGTCCATGTCGCTGGAAGAGCTAGACGAGCAGGTCGAACAGATGCTGGCCACATCGCAGTTATCCAGATTGTTTAGAAGATTGTGGGCGCCGGTGCCGGTGCCGGTGACAGCGGCCTGCGTCTGGGCGTTGTGCAGTCGGAGATTCGTTTGGTTGATCTGCATCTCCGAGGAGCTGCGAGACTGGTTACGACGTCGGCGCCGGCGACGGGCATTCGAGTTATCCGTGTAGCTCTTGGAGCGCGACATAGTGTCCTGGACGCTGTGGAATCGCACCTCCTTCAGTGGCCGGTTGTCCAGCTGCTCTCCGTCCTCCTCCCCCTGCATATCCTGCAGCTCGTGGCCCTTCTTCGTGTTGCGATTATTGGCGAAAAGCTGCTCGTAACCATCGTGGGGCAGCTCCCGCACCGGATCGTTGTCCAGCTCCAGCTCGTTGGCCAGCTCCTGGGTGCTCTGCGTCAGGTCCGAGTTGCTTGGCGAGTTCAGGTTGATCTTGTCGATGCTCTGGTAGCTGTGAGAGTCCTCCGCCTTCGACAGCAGCATGTCCGGCATGGAGGAGGTCAGCTGGCTGTCGCCGAAGATTGACTTGTCCCCCGCACAGATGTTGTCCAGGCTGATACCCAGCTCGGTGAGGTCGATGGGTGGCGGATGGGCGGGGCGTGGCATGCCTGGCACCCCCCCGCCCAGCAGCAAATCGGCCACGCCGGCTGCCTCCATGCGCTTGCGTTCCTGTCGCTCCAGCAGATCGCCGGCACTGCCCGTGCCCTTGACCGGTCCATGGCCATGGTTGGTCTTTCTTGAGGACTCCCTCTCCCTGTCCCGGTCTCCGCTGCGGCGGGGCGAGCGGGCGATTTGACTGGAGGTGGAGGCTCGATGGGTGGGACGCAGCTGAGGGCCAGAGCTCGTGTCCGAAGGCGTCGGCGGCTCCCCCTTGCTGCAAGCGATCGAGCAGTAGATGGTACCCCGTCGCGGCAGGAACGGGCGTCCCAGCAACGAGCAGCGGCAGGTGCAGCAGCTGAAGCACTGGTCCGTGGCATGCCAATGCTGTCCGTCGTGGCTCATCTGGCCCTGATCGACGCCGATCACTTCCCCGCAGTAGTCGCAGTATTCCGCGAACATCGTGTCGAAGCAGCCGAGGCAGTAGGGCTTGCCCTCCCGCATGATGTACCGCTGGCCGCCCAACTGGTGCTCGCACTCCTGGCAGGCGAAGTGCTTCATATGCCAGGTGCGACCCTCGGCCTCTGTGCACTCGTCGGAGAAGATGATCTGTCGACGAGAAAGAGACAGAGAAAAATTGGGTGCATAAGTAAATACTGGGATATCTTCAACACTATGATAATTGTCCGCCAGAGGATGGGAAGGAGGGACGAACGTGGATCACTCACCTCATCGCATGCCGAGCAGCGCGGCTTCTGGGTCTCGGCGTGGTGTCGGCCACAGTAGAGGTTCCCGTCGCGCTGGAAGTATATCAAGTCGACCAGCAGCTCCTTGCATACGCTGCACACAAAGCAGCCCGGATGCCAGCACAATTGGGCCCCCAGACGCTGGGCAAAGACCACGATGTCACCGCCCGACAGGGACTCCTCGCACTGGAAGGACGAAACAGAGGCAGAGACAGAGGGGGAGAGTGGGGATGAGAGGTGAATCGTATAAATAAGAGAAATATGCTCAAGTTCTTCGAGCGATAAAAATCTGCAGCGTCTGGCTGCTGCTCGGGCGAAAATATTTAAGCGTCTATAAATGCTAAATAACGGTAATAAAACGCTTAAGCTCGGCGCCCCCGCCACCACCCAGCCCCAAAAGTGCCCCAAGCACGGACACGGACACGGACACGGTCACGGCACAGGAACAGAAACAGGAGCCGGCTCCATTGGCCAGGCCAGTGCCTGCTCCTTTCAGCTCGCTCTGCGGTTTTGCTGCTCTTTATTCTCGTGCCATCCTCGTTTCCCAACCGGAAATCATGCAAAAATAGCTGCCGGCCATGTGCCCGTGTCAGCCTCGGTGGCAGCCAACACCACACCACCCCACCCCAAGTGCTCCCCGGTGGATAAGGAAGCACTTAAAGCGAGGACGCTGGAAGATTTTTGAAAACTGTGCTGCTGCTGCTGCTGCTGTTGCTTTTTCTGCTGGGAAAATGCTGCTAGCAGGAAGCTCCGCTTTTAATGACTGCTGGCAAGCCCCGAACCTCGAGACTCGTTAAATTTAAACGCGTTCGCATAATGAACTCATTTCGGGGCGAAAGGGTACGACCGTCCGGGATGTTTGGTGACGCTTTTATACCCTAGATCCTAATTGAGTTCTCCAAGAGGGGACATTTGTGCAGTGAAGCCCCATCTAAACTCTTGGACAGTTATTATAAAAGTGCGTTGTCCTTTAATTCCAAATAATATACAGAAACTCTGTTAAAAGAATGTACGATTTCGAGGATTATCCTGACTTTAAGTCGTACGGTTTCTGTATTATTCCTGAACGGATTCTGTTTCTTCCTTAACTTTATTGTAAGCCATTTGCCCTCTCATTTCCACCCACGGAGCAATTAGCCCAACTGCATTGATATATGACCTCCTCCCATGACCCAAGAAGCGACAGACCCCAGTACTCAGAATCTTTGCCAATTTGCACCCCCATTCCAGGCACTGCCCCGTGATTGCTCCACTGCGCCCCCGTTCTTGGCGGCTTTTTGGCGCAGGCAAATTACCCGACGCCACCGCAGAGGCAGCCGCAAGAGGCTCCCGTTGCCCCATCAGCATCAGCGAGGACTGTCTCCACTCTTCCTGCGTAGCTCCTTAACTTTCCAGGCTATTAAACCTCGGTGCGGGCGCTGCTCCGCGTCCTGGCCCCCGCAATCAGCATTTACTTTTGCAAGCCATTAAGCATTGACAGGCGAAAGCTTTGGGCGCTGACTGTACAGGGTTGATAATTTCCATGGCCGTTATGTAAGTGGCTTCACTGCATGCGTCGTTAATTGTTTGCCAACTCCAAAAAATTTATCGTCCCGGCCAGGGCCCCCCACGAAAAGAAAGTGGCATACAAATGAGGGAGCTGCTGCGCACTTTAATTTGTCCGCAAAGAGTGCCGTGTGCTCCGCCATCTCTGCTCCCACCAATCCCTGGCTAATGACGCATTTCGAGTCGGAATAGACTTGTCTCTGCACTTTGCTCTGGGCAAGCCGCAGAAAGTCTGGAAAAAACTTTGCCCCCACAAAGAGCTTTAAGTAGTTTCTGCGGTGGCGACAAAGTGGCAAAGTTTTCAGGGAGGATGGGCGCCCAATGCTACATCGCTCTGCGCCCCCGTCATTGATTAGTTTGGCCAGAAAATCTCTGCACTTAAAATGGCATTTTTCATCGTGAATCATCGTGAGCTGCCGAACCGGGTGAATGTCATGTAAATAGCAGCAATCGCTGCTCATTTATCTTATCAATCCAATTAATCCCTGTTGCCTGTTGGCTGTTGGCTGTTGCCTGTTTGCCGCCGGGGAGCCCAAGTCCTGCGACAGACAATTATGCTATTGACAAATTGTTGCTGGCGGTGCCACCGTGTAGCACCTACCCGAACCGTGCTGAACCGTAGCTGACCCCGGAGACGGGGGGATACTGCAGTGTCCTTGCTAACCCATTTCGTGTCTGGATTAATCCAACTTTTAGCGACAAACTTCCCCATCAGACGGACAGACACACAGACAGACAGTCAGACAGACAATTTCCTGCTCAGAACCGGTACCAGTAGCAGTACCAGTTCGCCCCCATCTCCATCCCGAATCCTGATCCAAAGCCCATCCCATCCCTTGGCAGCGTCAGGCCACGGCAACTCAAATTATTAATGACGCTCGTTATCATGCCCTTTTCAGTACATAAACTTTTCGCTTAACAGCCAGCGGGTTTTACCTTCCTTCTCCTTGGATTTTCTTTTATTTTGCTTTCCGTTTTGTTTGCTTTGCCGTTGCTGTTGCTGTTCTACCTACCTTCAATGGCTGATGGAGTAGTCCCTTTTTCTGAGAGAAAATATATATATTTCATGGAGTCGAGGGCTGAGATGGCTTTTCTTGTAATTATTTCATTGTTGCCAGGACGACCTTTAGTGTCACATCCTTGTCAAAATTTCAGCTTCCGCTGGATGCTGCTGCTGGTGCTGTTCGTGTGGAAAATCTGTCAAGGAGTTTGCCTCCTCTCTACGCCACTTGCCACATTATTTTTTGCCAAAATCATTGCCAGTTGGCTGTGACACACGTTTGTGGCCCACGTTGCGACTCATTCACGCCTGACTGAGTCCAAGTGCGAGGCGAGAGCTTCCTTTTCCTCCCTTTCGGGATCATTGAACGTTTTCATAAATTTTCCTTCATAATTTCCCTCATGCTTTCCACGCCATTCGATTGGATGGCTCAGGGTTGGACCTTTGTTCACATTTTAACGTCCGTTTAGCAAGTCAGTTATGGTCTGTGAATTTTAAGCACTTTCATCGTGATCCAAGGGAGGGCTTGGGTCTGGATTTTGAATACTTTTTAAAGTTAATCTCTTTTTTTATGAATGAAAGATTAAAGTTTGCAAAGGCATGCAAAATATTGAGCTCAGATTTAAATTTGTACAGGATTCCGCTTCTCATTCTGCCAGTAAATAAGTACATCTGTATCTGAATTCCTTTGCCAAAGTTCGCACTGATTATTTTTGGGATTTCTAATGAACTGCAACCTCAGAGAGAAGTGTATGTGCAAGTCCTCTGGCCATAATAAACGGAACTTGTCTGCCAATTTGGACAAACCAAATAAAATCCACACACCATATACCATACACCATACACCACGCACAACACACCACACACCACACACCCAGAAACCCGCACGAAGGCAGCTCCGGGCACCACATCCACCCACGCACGTAGCAGACAAACACGACCCGACCCCGACTAGACTCGACCCGACCAGGCCCCAGACACGCAACATGCGGCATAAAGTTTTTAATAAGTTTTACGAGTGGCGAATGTGAGCACAATAAAATCGAGCTGCAAACTACGAGTATCTACCCAGAGAATACAGAGATCCCCAGTATGACCAAGTGCGCATCGAGATGCCTGGGTTCCGGATTTGAAGCTGAAGTTGGAGTTGAACTTGTGGCACGCACCGCGAACGGGGAGAGAGCGAGAGTAGAGAGTCCTCCGCCTGTCAGCTAATAACAATGCAAATTTCTGAAGCGGGGCAGGGGCGCCAAGCTGGGCAAGGATAGTGCCAGTGCCAGCGGCAGGGGTAGTGCCAGTGGCAATAGCAGCCCGATGCAGATACCACTTCTCCTATTTAATGCCAGTGCTATTGTGCTTTAATGCCATTTCATTGCGTCTTTGGCAGGCAACTCCATTCACTTTTGGCCCAACGCGTTGCAACGTGCGCGGCACGTCCAGAGAGGAGGCAAAAGAGAAACACCAACCTCTGAATTTGTACGTTGGCTGACTCTCTTAGCCTTTATGTTGTCAGAGCCAAGCGGAGTCCGGGCCCAGTCACAGCCATAGTCACTGCAATTGTTTCTGCAACAACGTTTTTCATTTTCAGTTTCAGTTGGGGTTTCCTCGCAGCACTTTGCCGTTTGCTGAAAGTGTACTTAATGAAATCTTTTTGTCATCTTTTATTTCGAGACGTTTGAAAGTTGGCAACACCGTCGCGTCCCGTTTACCATGTCCCTCTACCCTCGACAGCTCATTGTTTTCGCCAGCCATTGTCAGATTTTTTGTGTTCCCCTGTTCCCTCTTTGGGCCATTCATGGCAGGCAGTAGTCCCCGGGCCGGGCCAAGAAAGAATCTCTGGTGGTGGTGCAAAACTTCGCCCCGCCCGGCCCGGCCCGGACCGGCAGACCAGGCACAAATGAAATCGAAACGACTCTTCATCTTGTGCTCTTCGCGCACTTTTTGTTCATAATAAAATGCAAATTTTTGCAACAATTAAAGCAATGGATGGGGATGGGGATGGGGATGGGGATGGGGATGGGGGTGTAGGAAGGGCCCCCACCCCATAAAAAAATTGTTTTCAAACTTACCCCCTTGCAGGGTCGCTCGTCGGACAGCAGCCGGACGGCTCCTCGGCCGAGAGCCTCGCGCTTCCTCTGGGCCGAGAAGATGCGCAGCTCCTTGCGCTCCTCGTCGCTCAGCGAGTGGCAGTAGCGCACCTGCAACAGACGGGCACGTAGACGGGCGAAAAGTTTGTTGTATTCATGGATTTTAATTAAGGCAACTCAAAAGGCACTGACAAGTTTTTTAATCTTGCCACTGCTCATGAAGGATTTTCTTTATGCTCTGTTTTCTATGCCCCCGAAGAGGTAATTATAAATCTTTTCGCAATCTCCGTTCGGCAGGATACTGCTGGGAAGCTGAGTTGCAAAATTATAAAGCTATCTGAATACTTATTATTTATATCTCGATTGGATTTTCTTTCGTTTCTGCTGGAATCTTCCTTTTGCAATATTCTATTTGATGTGTTGTTTCTTCTTAAGAAACCCTAAAACTAAAATAAATTAGATCGGGCAGCTCTGGTTTGAAATTCGGCTACATATTTCTACGATCATAGGATAAAAGTATCCTTTTGCATCGTGAACTAAAGTCTTTCGTTCTTCCTTTATCCAAATATTTTAATCAATATCATTGTGCAGTTATAAGAACTCTACTCTCTACTGTCTAGCCAAAGCTTTCCTTGCTTTTTGGTTGCTTTTCTTTAAATTTGTAGGACCTGCCTGTGGTGCTAACTGCATTTTCTTTTGTTATCGTTTCCTTTTAGCCAGCTTTTCCTCTGGCTAATACTCACTTCGTTATCTTGCGGCGGCAGCTGGTGCAGCAATTGTTTAACGCGATACTTTTCGCCGGGACTGTTGACGTAGGGCACCTTGTCGTCTGGCAGTTGACTGAAGTACAAGCGGACCTGCGGAGTGGAAAACGGAAGGGAGAATCGAGTTAGTTCCACCAAAAAGTTTTTACTCTTTTAACTGAACAAATCATATCAATTTAATGAAATGTCAGTGCAGATGGTGACATGAATGGTGGCGTGGAAAATGGTCATGGGAGACCCGAGACAATCGAGGCAATGCAGTGAAACATTGGGACCAATTTTCAGTTTTCCCAGGGGCTCTTATGTAAGCCAGCACCTGAGAAATATCGACATGCTTTCCAGCTTTAATTGCTGCCAAATGCAGGAGTATCGGCAATTTAATTACAAAACGCTTTCGCTTTCCAATCGATACAGATAGCACAGCGATTTGGGAGCGATAATTTTTTCAGCGTGTAATTAAAGTTGTTTCACCCAACGATTTCCTTAAACGTGCATGTGGCCGATGTCCAATGGCCAAAAGACCAGGCCCCAGCCCCAGACAGAGCCACAGCCACAGCCCCAGCACCGGCTTTAGCCAGGCATTGAACTGGATTTAGGATTCCGATTTGGGGAGCGTGGAAAATCGAACGAAAGCAAAAGTTGTCAGCGGGTGGCCTCGGGTAATGCCATGGCGCAGAGCAGCGCAGATTTAGATTTCACTTAATTAGTACCGACAAATCGACATACACTAATGATGATGATGATGATGATGATCATGTTGCAAGTCTATATGGTGTATGTGCTGGAAGCACGCCCTTACCTGATCAGGTCGGAGACCCGGCGGCACCCATGTGTATTCCTCCAGGGCACAGCCGCTATCATCGTCCGACTGCGAGTTGCGCTGGAAGTCCAGCTGCTGGTGGTGGCTGTGATGGAATCCGTGACCGGCCACGGCCGCTGCCGTCTTGTAGCTGGCCGTGCGTAGCGGAGACGCCACCGAGTTCAGTGGCAGATGACTCGGCGGCTGGCAGTGTCGCCGCTGCAGGGGCGACACAAAGTGGCTCGTGGTCTGCCCCCCGCTGCCGCTGCCGGTGCTGCCGCCAGAGGGCACATCGAGGTTGCTGGACGTGGCCGTAGATGCCACATTGCTGCTCATCGACGCCTGCTGAAGCTGGGAGCTGGTGGCGGCCATCTCGCTCCGATGGGGGGGAAATGTCAGCCCGGTGCCGCCCGCCTCAATCTGCAGCAGCTCGCTCTCCGTCTGCGTGTAGTAGCTGCTGTGTGGCAGGGGCTGGGGCTGCGGCTGTTGTTGCATGATGGCCTGGTGCTTGCCGCTTGAGCGCGGTGCGGGCGTGGGCTTGTATTTGCTGAGTACTTGGCCTGGTTGAGAGCTGCAAAGAGGGAGGACCGAAAGAGAAATCAATATGAGGTAAAGCCACGAGTATACCCAAGTCCGAGCATTAGTTGTGGTCTCTGAGCTTGGATGGTATTACACCTGAGCGAAACTCTCCCTTTTGTGGCTGTGAAACTGTTTATTACCCATACGCAATGCTCAGCAGAATCATGGACCATAAAGTAACGTCTCTAACAGTTGGGCAGAATAGTATTCCACCCCAAATAGGCATCTAAATAATTCCCGCTTCCATCTCCCCATGTGATGCAAGTCATTTGCAATTAGACTGCGCACAAAAATATACCAAAACTCATTCTAGTCGAGTTCCTGCAGGCATTTCTAATGAGTTTTGAGTGCGATTATGACCACTGACTGTGGCAGTGGCAGGCTGCAATGCTGCAGCTGCGCATGCGTGCAGTTGTCCAATCTGATTAAACTCCGAAATTGCAGCCGGACCGGACCAGGCCCCGCCATCAACCATCCGAGCTTCGTGTAAAGTCATAAAGTCTTGGTGCAGCTCTCTCGACCAGTGCGGCACTGTTCGCCGCGGAATCTTCTTTCTGCCGCTTTCTGTTGTACTTTCACTCGATTTGTGGCACGCTGCGCGATTATGCAGCCAAGCAGAGATGGCCGCTGCTGCTGCTGCTGCGGCGGCAGCCTACAGTGGCATCCTAACGAAATTCCAGCATATGGCACAGAGCGGGGCCCCAGAGAGCTTGGTCATGTTGCAGCTTTAATTCCGTGTTTTTTTCTGTATTTTTTCTTTTTTTTCCTGTTTTTGTTTTGTAATTAAAGCCATTTGTTCGACTCAACGTCGAGTGCTCGCATGTGAAATATTAAAGTGTTTCATTCACAAACGCTTTACATTTGTCCGAGTCTAATATCAAGTGTCGAAACTTTTGGAGCATGAATAACAGGCCGCGCAAAGCGGCAGCTGGCAGCCATTAGGCGGTCCAACATTGTATTAACTAATCAACGTGAGAAGCAGAAATATCATCAGCCTTAGGAGCAGTAGAAGCCAATTTGCCAGGCCCCGGCCAGCGATTTATCCACATTTCTTGTAAATTTATGCAAATTAAAGACATCATCTCATCACAATCAGAGGCCAACCTTCTGCTAACGAAGCAAGTCCCACAGAGCGAGCCTACGGAAAGTGAACGTCCGAGGCTGACCGTAGATTACTTAGAGTGCGAGTATACCTGATGGACGACCAGGAGCCATTAGCACCTACATACCTCCATATGGTTCACAGATCAGTCGTTGGCATGCCCGAACGTGTGAATGGGGAGAAAGTTTTATGTCTTCTCTTTTTTGTCCGCTCTCGTCCCATGCAAATTTCATTGGGCTGGTGCTCTGCCCGGGCGGGTCGTAGGCAAGGCCAGGGCTCAGCGCCAGTTCCAGTGCCAGTGGCAGTGCCAAAAGTTGATCGATCACAGGGTACTTTCTAAAACGATCCATTCGCCGCGATTGTCCAAACAAAAGTCAAGGCATAATCTGTCACTGAATGAATTGTGCGGCCGCTGATCGACTTTGATAGCGGAAAACAGTGGCCAAGCGCCATGATCGGATGGAATCGGCTCAGATCAATTCAAATCAACACAAATCCATGCTCCAACTGCCAAATATGGTTGGTCAGCAGCGGCTTAGTCGGTTTTCTCTTTTCGGCCACAGCCACAGCCACAGCCTGCAACACGAAGCGACGACGCGACGCGGCGCTGCGTCAGAGAAACCTGTTGACGGTTTCTATTGGTCTCTATGGTCTCTATGGCCTCTATGGGTGCATGCAATTTCTGCATTAAAGCCAATTCGGCAAAGGCGCAAAATACATACGCCATGTCGAGTACGCAAAAATGCTGCCACTGGCAATTGGCGGTACTGGTTGTGGCCGCGCAAGCCTGACCAACTATGGAGGCCGGTCTGGACATGTACATATATTTGGGTTAAGAAGATTTTGAGTTTATTTGGTTTGATGTCTGTCATTTCCTTGATGGCCTGTCGCCGTTCCGCACATCTCAGGATAATTAAAATAAAATTGTTTGACACTTAAATCGAATGGGAATGGGCTTGAGAAATAGCCATTCCACAATCGGGCTTACTCTTTCAAATCTGTGGGGAATTTTAAATGTTTAAAGACTCTTTTGGGATTTATCGGTATGTTTACGGTTCATAATTGTGCCAGTTTATGGGTTTCTTCAAATGGCTTATCAACTAAATGCGCAATGGGAGGCGGTTCGAGTATACGGGCATACCTTGCTATTCCACTTAGCAACCAAACTTTATCTGAAATCTCCCTATATGCCTACTGTTGTATCGCCACAGATATAAATCGAATCGATTTATCTAGCTGATTTCAACATCTCATCTCGGTCTCAGCCCCTGGTCTAAGCCTCAACTTCAGCGCCGGTCCCAGCTCCAATCCGCATCCGAGTCGGAGTCCGAATCCGACTCTCAATCGAATCCTATGCGCTGCTCATTAACGAATAATTCCGCAATTTCAGCACGTTTTCCTCGGTTGAAATGCCAAAACCATGCCACAGAGCTAATAATATCTCAATTATCTGCAACACCATGGCATCGATTGCATTTCTATTCGTTCCACGATGTTTCCACAACACTCGTACTCGTATTTCCACGATTTCATTAAATTTTAGACACGCAATTTCCCCAGAAAAACCTGCAGCAGGAACAGCAGCACCACGTAACTGGTTCAAAATCATTTAGGCTCACAGATACACACACACACACAGACACACCCCACGGTAACTTGTTTCCCAATGCAATGGGGGCCTGGATTCTGAGAATTCAGGAGTGCACTACGACACAGAATGGCTGCAATTGAACTACAACGAAACGAAATTAATACGTAACATGCAATTCTTAATAATTGAAAAGAGTCGTACGAGGAGCAGGGGAACAGAGGAGGAGTGCCAGGGGCACCGGCAGAGCCATAGCCAGAGGCAACCAATGCCAATCCGCACTAAATTACTTTCACAATTGGCCCAAAGATAAACGCCTTGCGGATTGCCTGGAGGTTAAGCCTGGTATTAGGCCTACTAATGCTTGATTATCCTCGTCTAGCACACGATCTCTGGCCAGATCAGTAGTTACTCCAGAACTGCACGCATCCCAGATTCCAGATCCCAGCCCCTGGGGCGTGCCCGGACTCGATCATGGGCAGGGGCAGGGCAGTGGCAGAGGCAGGGCACCCCCATTATGAAATCTCGTTCAATGGCCCCCCCAACTCGTGACCTTGTTGCGTGTTCCATTGTCTGCCGCTCGAACGGAACCACTCATATTTCTATATGCATTCTCCGGCTGAGACTCCCAGTCTGACTTTCGGGTTAAACGGCCGCTTTTGACTGCGTTTACGTCACACGAAAAAAAGCCACGAATACCCGAAACCGAACCAGCACCGGAATACACCCGTAACAAACATACACAATCATATAAACACATACATGTAGTATCCGAGCATAAACAGCCACAAAAAATGTCCGTCTGTACATGCAATCGCGTCATATGTTGCACGTGTTGCTGTCGCTCAACGTTTTTATGCCTCGGCTTCTTCTTTTTCTTTATGGGTTTTTGTATGAACATGAACACATTTTTGTGTGCCTGTCTACACGGCTTGGTTGGGATCGTTTCGGCCCAGCTCGGATACGGATTCGAGTTGCAGTTCGGGGTTTGGCTGCTCATTGGGCAGGGAGTGAAGGCCGGAGCCAGTTAGGCCCGTTGCACAACTTCCTCTCCCTCTTTCTCCCTCGTTCTTTCTCTCTCGCCGATATCTCTGGTATCTGGCAGACCCCTCTCTGCTGCAACGCCTCTTTAAGTACCGCGTAGTGATTTAGTGCAGCGTTACCGTTAGACCAGGCTGGTGATAAGCTCTATGCAACGCCGTCCTCGGGTCTGCTATGGGTCTGTTCTGCAGATACTTGTACGAGAGCATCAGCATCTCCGCATCGGCCTCAGCATCAGCCTCAGCTTCAGCTTCAGCATCAACTAAAATGCATAATTAATCGCCGAGGCCAAAAGCAGAAGCAGCCAGTGCACAGCACACAGCACCCAGCCCACAGCCCACACTGGATGTTGCATGTTGCATGTGGCATGTGAAACCAACTCCACTCAAGTCGCAGTCGTTTGAGTCGAGTGCGCTGTGGTGTGTCTTGAGCTGATTCTCGTTCCGTCATTAACAGCTTTTGCTTAATTTTATGCAGACTACCACTGCCCCGTGCCTCGTGCCCCGTGCACCGTGCACCGTGGCCCATGCTCTGCTGCCCCCTCTTGTCCCGCTGTCAACAGCTTTAGACACGTTTCAGCGATTTTCATGTTGCATGGCTCGTTCTAATTTATGCAAAATGTTGTTCTTCTTCTGTAATTCATTTCGTTTTGTGCTCGTGAATTCTCTTCTCCTTTTTCCCATCCCCCATCCCCCATCCCCCTGCCCCACTACTCAATCACTCTGCCACTTGTTTTTTCTTTCTTTCTTTTTTGGGCATTTTCTTGGCTGCTATTTACCAAACTTAAATGCGCATTTTAGCCAACTCGTTTCGGGCTTCATTAGTCCAAGTTGATGGCCAAGTCTCTTTCTCTCTCTCTCTCTGTTTTATTGATTTCTCTGTCGAAGTCAGATGAGGGATAATTGTCCGTTGGATATATTCGATTTTAATTGTTATTAGCAAAATCGTTTTGTTTGCGCAACCGTAGAAAGTCCCTTGGCATTTCTTTTGGGATGCTGATGCTCCAATAGAACAATTTCCAATTGGCAGTCCCGTCCATACTTCGTGATGCACTCCGGTTCCCATCTACGATGGGACTTGAACCACTTTGTGAGCTGTGAATTCCAGAGCTTAGCCTCGTCTTCGTAGATCTTGTGATAAAATAGATACTATGCTAGTTCGGGGCGAGCAGGTGATGGAAGATGGCGATGGAAATGGACTCCCACAGTTCTTAGACATAAATTAAATATCTTCTCTAATTTGATGTACTCCACTTAATGAT